TCAGCCAGTGAGCAGGAGCCGGTCTGTATGTGGGATCCGAACCCTCGGACGGGAGCGCCGCCGCGCTTCCCAAGCGGCGCCGGGCCGGCCCAAGTCAGAAGTTATTGAACCAAAGAAATAATAAAGGGTCAGAAGAGCAGAGAAGTAAAAAGTAGTACTAAGAGGGAACGATCTTCTATGAGACATATCATGTCCCAGAACCAAATCTGTCTATTTTAATACTATACCAGATCTTGGATTCTCAACATTTTTATGCACTTTGGGAAATTAACTTTCACAATTTGCCCAGTATCCTCAACTTCCCTGTGACAAAGCATTTATAGTGTAAAGAGCGTTACACACAAATGAAACTAGGCAGAAGTCCTGTCCTCTAAAGTTAAAATGTACAGAATTAACACAAATTACCTAGAAGACCAAAGTTACACATTTAAGGACTACATAACATAAGAAGAAAAAAACATCAGAGCAGGAGCATAATCTAAACATATTTAAGTCATATTAAAAAAAAAAAAAAGACAAAACAAAAAACCCCCACCACCCACAAAAGTTCTTAAGCACAGGATGGAACATAATTAAAGGTTGTTGGTGTCAAAAAGCTTAATATGCTTTTTGGAGTGATGAAAAGTTTCTAAAATTGGTTGTGCTAATGGTACACAACTCAGTGTACATTTTCAATAGATGAATTGTATGGTGTGTGAATTACATCTCAATAGTTATTTTAACAAAAAAACCTTAATGTGAGACAACAGTGGTACATGGTATAGTATCTAGAAAAAGGGAGGTATTAGTTTTACTCTGCTTCACACAGAATGGACCAGAGTTTAACTGAGTACCACATATTAGGGGGGTTATAATAGAAATGGCCAATTTTTAAGTACACAGTAGGCACTTTTATGCCAAGCACGACCTAATTTCATTTAATTCTCACAAAACCCCATGAATTATGTATTATAGTACTCACATTTTTCAGATGTGAAATTGAGACCAAAAATATTAAGTAACGTGTCCAGGCCATTCTTTTACCTAATATAAGAACTATGATCCAAACTCATGATGTCCAAAGTTTTATCTACTAAGTGGATATAGACAAAACGGATCACGTTCAACAGACTGTAATCAGGGTAAGAGGACTTGAAACCTTGTCACAGAACGGCTAGACATGTCTAATCCGAGAAAAAAAGAGGCTTGAGAATATAACTGTTTTAAAACATACAAACAGCTTGTGAGGTAAAAACAACAACAGCAACGAAAACACGATAAGACATTTTCTAGAATTCTCAGGAGTGTGCATTAGAATCACTGGCAGGCAACTATTTGAGGGGAAAATTTTTTTAAAAAGCCAGAGATGTATACCTACACTGTTCTGAAGGCAGTGAGACTCTCCCATCCCCCTACCTCAATACAGTAGGTATTCATGCAAAGAGCATTTAAGCCATTAGATGGGATGCTGATTTACGGTTATCGGGGAAAATACAGGGTACATAGCTAAGTTTAAATTTCGGATAAACAATTAATAAATTTTTAGTGAAGTATGTCCAAAATATTCCATGGGACAAAGCACTTACTGTAGTAAGGAACAGCAAACTGGGCCAAGCCTCAAATATTGCATGGGACATACTTACACTGTACTTTCAGTATGGGGTAAATTATTCGTTGTTTATCTGATATTCAGATTCAACTGGGCGTCCAGAATCATCTCTACTTGCCAAATCTGGCAGCTCTAGATGCTGCATAAGTGATTTTTAAGGTCCATTTTAAACCTAGACTGGCGAGGGAGCCAGTCAAGAAGCTGCATGGGAGGACAGCCGGGGCTGGGGGAAGGCAACAGAAATAGACCAAGAGGTGAAGAACTGACACCATTCAGAATTCAAAATATACAGGACTATATGGTTGCTGGGGAGGGGCAAGAATGGTCAGAGGACAGTGTAGCAGGACAGAGGCTAGAATCAGAGACCTGTGGGAGAAGGAGAAACAAAAAGAGGGCAAAGTTCCCGGGAGGGTCCAGTGGAGTTCTTCCAGTCTCGTCCTCTCGCAGAAGCAACCCCTTAACTCACACTTTTCGCACACCATCCTCCCGCCGACGCTTCCCTTCGCCGCAGAAGAAGCGGCAGATTGAAAACATCAACACCACAGCCTGGGAAGGACGCCTCTTCCGGGCTGCGTCAACCCACTTCCGGCCTCTTGGCCCTCCGCTCCCGCCTATCCCACACCTGGAAAGCCGGGGAAGAATGAACGTGACGGGTAGGCGGGGCTGCTTGATTTGCCCGCCCCTCCCCTTCTGCGATTGGCTGTGTGTCGGTGGGTCTCCGCCCCACAAACCTGCGCCTGCGCGAGGGCCGGGCAGCCGGTCGTACCTGATGGTGGGAGGCGGTAGAGTCCCTTTCCCTTCGGCGGGCGGGAGATTAGGTAAGCCCGGCTGCAAGCGTCCGGCACGCTCACTTCCCGGGGGCGCAGGACACGCCCGCCAGCTGCCGAAGTGGTCGCGAGCCTCCGCGCTCCCGAGCGCAGCGCCCGCGGCCGCTCGAGCGCCACCCTCCCGGAGTTCCCCGGGGGCTACCTTAATGGACACAGCCTTTTTCGGATCCGAGTTCTGTCTCTGTCCCTCGGTTTCCCTTGTCCCCGACACCTGTGATCTTGAATTATGCCTCTCGGCTTGGTCCTCGCTGCCTACTCTCCCGCCGGCTGAGGCTTGGGTAAAGTCCCTCCCGCGACCCCGTGCGGGGTGGGCTGCAGCTGCGGGTACTACGGTTCCCGCGCGGGCTCCTCCCGGAGCGGCTCAGAAGCGCCCTCACTGCAATGATGCCTGTCGATTCCGGCCAAGCCAGATCGATGGGGGGCACGTGTCCTGGGGGCACGCCAGGGCCTAACGCGGTGCTGGTTTTTCAGGAAGGGCTATTCCCTCATTCATCCAGCAAGCATTTGGGTACCGCTCACTGTATTAGATCCAAATCTGCTGTTGAGAGCTGGGATTTTGACGGTGGCACAGAAAAATGTCCGAAGGAGAATCTGTTGAGAGAATGGATTCCTGATGCCTTTGCCCGCCCGCAATCAGCTAAGGATAGAATCTGGGAGCAACTTTTACTTTGCCCCTTCTTGCCATCCGTTCTCCTCTTGATCTCTGGTGTATACATCTTCCTATGAAAGAGGCTAGGCTTTGAGGTAGGCGTAAACGCTTAGGACCTTGGACATGTCTCCTAGCCTGTTTATCCTGTTTCCTTAGCAGTAAAATGTTTGCCTTTGAAAATTATTGTGTTAATTAAATAAGATAGGACCCTGGTTGATCCTTTTTGCTTTTTTGCACTTGTGGGTGCTTCTCTTCCCCGCCCCCGTGTGTGTGTGTGTGTGTGTGTGTATTTTTTTTTTTTTTTTCTTAAAAGATGACCGGTAAGGGGATCTTAACCCTTGACTTGGTGTTGTCAGCACCACGCTCACCCATTGACCTAACTGGCCATCCCTATATAGGGATCCGAACCCGCGGCCTTGGTGTTATCAGCACCACACTCCCGAGTGAGCCACAGGCAGGCCCTGTGTGTGTGTGTATTTATATTTTTTCCGGAATATTTCTATTTTCTGAAATGTTCACCACAGTGTAACATGTTGACTATTACTTTAAATTAATAAAGTCCTTACTTAACATTAGTCAAGACAATGTATAAGCTCTCAGGTAAATTAAATACATAATACATACATGTATTTAAATATAGAGTAAAAATTTTTTCTCTTACCATTCATGGTCTACTTTGGATTGGACTTTAGCACCTGTAACAGACGTTGTCATTTTGATATTTCTGGAGCATTGGGATCCCTTAGTAATGTTCTTTAAAACTCTTGATTGCACTGGCCACCATTTGAATATTCAGGTGTGCACTAAGTGATACTTGTCATTTGCTAGAAGATGCGAACTACTCTGATGTTAGACAGGGATTAAAAAAAAAAAGCACCAACAATTTAGCCAAAGTGTATTCATGGGGTTTCTAGACGGCATAGGTTATATTTTCAGTAGGAGCAGACCATTTAATCTATATGGTTGATTTCACCTCTGTGATTTTGGCAAAAAAAGTAAAGTGAATTGCTTAATTGGTCCTTCCACATGACCCTTTTGCAGAAAGCAGTTACAGATATTTTAGGACTTAGTAAATTTGTCCTTTTCTGACTCTGAGAGATGTTTGTACCATGTTAAGAAAATCTAAGGTAAAATAGAATGTTAATTATACCCGTTCACTTACACGTATGTGTCTTTCTGTGTTTTCAAGCAAATACATTGCCCATAGAAAACTGACTTTAATTCATGGCTTAGGTGTTGAAGCATAAATAGGACAATGGAAAAAGTCATTATTGCATATACTCTTCTTAATTTGTTTTTCATCAGATAGACACCCAAGAAAACACCATGAAAGACACTGATATCAAGAGACTACTGTATACCCATCTTTTTTGCATATTTTCAATTATCCTAAGCATCTTCATTCCATCATTCTTCTTGGAGAACTTCTCAATATTGGAAACACACTTGACGTGGTTGTGCATCTGTTCTGTTTTAGTAACTGTTGTCAATCTAGTATTATATTTAGTAGTGAAACCAAATGCATCCTCTAAAAGAAGTTCATTATCGTACAAGGTAAGCTTTATTTCTTGATAACTGATTTTTGGATGAAGTTAGTGTTTCTTTTAGTGGAAAAATAAAGTATTAGTCAAGCACTCATTGGGTTATTTAAAGTGAGTAAAGGGAACCTGATTTTTTTTTTTTAATTAGCCTTATACTTTCTGGAAGGCTGCCCACAATGTTTGATAGATCCTTGCTTAATATTATTGTGGAATTATGACTTCTTCAGTGGGTATTTTAGCATTGTGAGCCTGTACAATCATTGTTTTATGTCACCATTGATGATCCTTAAACTTTATAATACATTGCAGTTTATTTTCATTTATTTTTGCATTTCTGAAAAACCCTTTAAGTGTTTTTCAGAAATTACAAAATAAGCCTATGTGGTAACTATTGTGTTGAACATGTCCTTCTTTGACTAAACAGTTTTAAGTTTTCAGGTATTAGAATCAATTTTCTAGAATATTCACTGCAGTGTAACACTTGACTATTACTTTAATAATGTCCTCACTTAACATTATTCAATACTATGTGTGAGCACTCTGTTTGGTAATGTAAAACACCTTTACTGCCTTATGATTAAAAAAGCTCAATATGTGTTTTGTATCTTAAGCTCCAAATAAAACAAATCACATGCTTATGTGTAGATGTTCAGGTCTTTTTTTCATATGGCTCATAATGTAATATGAACGTGATTTGGGGAATTATTTAGTGTTTTGCTTTTTGTGGTGCAATTTTCTCAGGAGTTTTTTTTAAAATGAAGAAAAATTATTGTAGTCATTATTTCATGCAGATATTTCAGGTATCATAACATAATGATTGTGTTTATGTTTTTTGTATCCTAGCCCTGTTATCAATAAGTATTTCATAAATATCAATTAACAGCATGGCTCACTATATTCCATAGAAACAGAAACCCTTTTTGACTCTAGTGTTGGGTGGGTGGATGGATTATGGGGGTAGGAGGAGGGTAAGCAGCAATATTTGCCTTTTAGGTTTTTTTATGGTCAGTATTGAGGGCTGTGTATGTGACTGGGCATAGGACAGTGTTCTCTGACTTGAAGATACCCAAATCCAAAGAACATTCAGCTGTTTTACACATTATGGGAACAAGCTGTATCTGTAAGAAAAAATGGAAGGATTTATTGTCCTTTAGATGTTCTCTTGAGTCTTCAAATTATTCATTTTTCTTTTAGGTAACCAGACTTTTGAAATGCTGTGTCTACTTTCTTATGTCTTGTTTCTCCTTTCATGTAATTTTTGTTCTATATGGAGCACCACTAATAGAGTAAGTTTGAAATTTTACCTTAAATTTATATTATAAAACGCTGATTTACCAAACAATGAATAACTCTGTTGCCCATTAGAGAAAAACCATGGTGTGTTTAATTAACAGATCAAGTAAGGATAGCAACATCATTGCACTTCTTTAGCAGTATTATTCTTTTAAAAAACATTGGAATAACTTAATTTATTAAATGCTTCTATTATTCAAATGCACATTGGGACGAGGGAGGATAGATGAGAAACTATGCTATACTAATAAATGTGTTGCCCTTAGAACCTCTAAGGGAACTTTCTATAATGATACTTGTAAGTTAGTTATAATTAGCATATAAATTCTTAGTAAGTGTGATTCCGAAGTACTTGAAGAGTTTTTTTCTTAAGGAAAGTCAGTAGCTTCCTATATTCAAATACTTAATAAGCCATTTTTAATGGTCTTAAGGTAAAATTTAACTCAACACTTTTTTCAAAACTGACCTATTTTAGATTAGTGGAAACCAAATTCATGAATATTTCTTATATTGTGTTTATGATAGTTTGGGAAACTTCAGTTTAGCAGTGATTAATGATCATGGTGAAATGAATGACTATATATATTTATATGCATATATATGTAGCTATGTATACAGTTTTTATGTATATGTATATATAGTTATATATATATACACTAAACTAACAGGTTATTCTTTTCTAGACAGGGGAGGACAAGAGTTTTGTAGTGGGAAGTGGTGGTCTCTGCCTAATCCATCTTAGAGTAGAATGAATATGTCTGGAACAGTGGTTCTCAAAATATGGTTTTTGAACCGGTAACATCAGCATTTTATCAAAATGCATATTCTTAGGCCTCAGTTGGAAATTCCAGCAGTGGGGCCCTTCAATCTTTAGTTTGTCCAGTTCTCCAGGTGATTCCTATATAAGTTAAAGTTGAACCACTGGTTGCAGAGAAAGTTCCAGAGACTAATGAGGGAGAAAGCTAATTACCTGGCAATGGGGTTTCTTGCAGTGGAAGTCTCAGTATGGATATTACGATTTTTAATACTTCTGAAGTCTGTCATTAAAGCCAGATATTTGTTAGGCTGTTTTTATAAAGCTTGCATTTTGGTAGTAAAATTATTCATAGTCATCATTTTGGTGGGACTCATGTTACCTTTCAAAGTAAAGTATAAGAAAATATTTTTATCTTAAGTCTGTGTAACAAAGATTATGTATGTGTGTCCATGCACCTTTAACACTTTAAAAAAATAATAAAGTTTTTTTTTTTTCTAGGTTGGTATTGGAAACATTTTTATTTGCAGTTATTTTGTCTACTTTTACTACTGTACCTTGTTTGTGTTTGTTAGGACCAAACCTCAAAGCATGGCTAAGAGTTTTCACTAGGAATGGGTAAGTTTTAATTTTATATTTTAGTGATGTTTGAAATTTAAAAAAATTAATGATGTATTTTTCTATACATGACAATTTGGTGTTTATTCCGAGTGTTTCTCAGTACTGTATGGTTCTCAGAGATGCCTTAATGCAGTTGGGGACTGGGGACAGAGAACCAGTGGTTTGACGGGGACCTTAGAAGGCAAAACTACAGGCCCCTCCCTCCACTTTAGCAAGATCAGCTCTGCTTTTTTTCTGCATGGTAGATTTCCTCTTAGCCATTTGTTTGGGGGGAAAACAGTTTGTACTATCAAAAGAAAGCTTTGAAACCCACTGCTCTAGGATAATTTGACACGGTGATAAAATTGCTACAAATAAAATTGCTTACATACATTTTATAATGTAGAAATGAGGTCCACAATCTAAAACTGTTTTGTATAACAATGATAATTTCTTGTTTAGCCTTTTTTGTGGTAAGATAACATAGCACAAGTTTATAGGATTTCATTTCCTTAGCTATCATATATGTATATATTTTCAGCATAGCTAAGTTAAAATTTTAGCTTCTCGAAAGGCATTGAAATGGTATATACCAGAAATGGTTGAGTTCTTAGAAAACCAGAAGATTATTTGGTGCCCAAAATTTTGTCCCATTCATCAGCCAGCAGCAAAAACTTCTTGACCACTTACTTGGTGCTCTGTGTTATGCTACGCTCTATGTGGATTCCCAAGTATTAGGATGATTTTTTTCCCTGAGGAACTTGCACTATTCAAGGGACAAGAATGAAATGTGCAAATAATATGAGGCTAAAATTGTGTAACTCCAACAATAAGTACTGTTGGAACTCTGAGGGGTTAGGGACCAGTAAAGAATGGAGCTGGAGAGGTGAATGATCTATGACAGACTTGGATCAGGAGTATAAGATCTAGTGAGACCAACAAGAAAGGGAAAGACACCTCATGCATAGTGAATGGATGAAAGCATAGAAACTGAAATGAACATGGTATTTTTGCATGATTTGGAAGGGAACACTCCAAGGAGAGCAGAGATGTGAAGTGTTATCTCATTGTGGCTTTTATTTGCATTTCCCTGCTGACTAATGATGTCAGACACCCTTTCATGCGCTTATTGCACATTGTATATCTTCCTTGGATGTCTCTTCAGATCCTTTGCTCTTTTTTTTAATTGGGTAATTTGCCTTTTTATTATTGAGTTGTAAGAGTACTTCATATATTCTGGATACGACTCCCTTATCAGATAAATGGTTTGCAAATATTTTCTCCCATTCTATGGGTTTTCTTTTCACTTTCATGATAGTGCCCTTTGAAAGACAAAATGTTTTTATTTATTTATTTTAAAGATGACCAGTAAGGAGATCTTAACCCTTGACTTGGTGTTGTCAGCACCAGGCTCTCCCAAGTGAGCTAACCGGCCATCCCTACCTGGGATCCGAACCCGGGGCTTTGGAGTTATCAGCACCACACTCTCCCAAGTGAGCCACAGGCCAGCCCCAAAATGTTTTAATTTTGATGACATCCAACTTATCTATTTTTTTTCTTTTGTTGCTCATGCTTTTAGTGTCATGTCTAATAATCTATTTCTGAATTCAAGGTGATGAAGATTTACTCCTATGTTTTCTTCTAAGAGTTTTATTTTTATTTATTTATTTATTTATTTATTTGTCCTTTTTCGTGACCGGTAAGGGGATCGCAACCCTTGGCTTGGTGTCGTCTGCACTGCGCTCAGCTAATGAGTGCACTGGCCATCCCTATATAGGATCCGAACCCGCCGCGGGAGCGCTGCTGTGCTCCCAGCGCCACACTCTCCCGAGTGAGCCACGGGGTCGGCCCTTCTAAGAGTTTTATAATTTTAGCTCTTACATTTAGGTCTGATTTATTTTGTGTGAGCTTTTGTATATGGTGTGAGGTAAGGGTTCATCTTCATTCTTTTGCATGTGGCTATCCAGCTATTCTAACACATTTGTGACTATTTTTCCCCCTTGAATGGTCTTGGCATCCTTGTCATAAGTCAGTTGATCATAAACACATAGTTTTATTTGTGGATTCTCAATTCTATTTAATTTATCTGTATGTCTATCTTATGGCATGCTGTCTTGATTAGCTGGTACATGTTTGAAAGATGTATATTTTTTGTGTATTCCTGTGCCATGTGGTGCAGCTAGGTGCCATTTTTTTGTGTTTAAACTTAGTGTTTTTCACAGATGGAATCATTCATATTGTTCAATATATCAATTAAATTGAAACAAATTTGAATCTTCAAAACAAGCACTATAGCAGGATTGACTGTATATATAAATTCCTAATGTTTAAAATTGAAAAAAATTAAATGTTAAAACTCAAGGGAAACAAAGAGAGAAATTATTTTTAGTTTCTCATAGTAACTTATCACGAATTTAATATATATGCATTTTTCTGGCCAGATTTAACCTTATTTCTACTTTTAGCCTGAACCATGTCTTGCAATAACACCTGTTACTTTCTGTTGGTTAAATTTTTTTAAAAAATTCATTTTAAAATTTACCTTTTGAATCTTCTGAGATCTGGTGAATAAATCTGTTGTTGTCTTGTTTTCATACCGATCAGCACTTTATCTCTTGTCAGAAGGATCTATAACAAAGTAAAACTGAAAATTATAGGAAGGAAGATGCCATTTTCTAGCTAACAGATTGACAAAGATCAATAAGTTTGATAATATATGGTGTTAAGGGTTTGGGGAAGCAAGTGCCAGTGTTCAAACTATGAAGTATAAATTGGTTCAAACTCTATGAAGGGCAGTTTGGTAGTATCTATAAAAATTACTAATGTACATTTTTGGTCCAGTAATTCTACTTCTAGGATTTTATCCAGAAGATATACTTGCACACCTACAAAATATTGAATGCATAAGATTATTGATTTCGGCATTGAAAATAACCTAAATGTCCTGTAGTAAGGGATATAGTTAAGTTAAATTTAATCTACACCTTGAAATACAAGTACTATGTAGCTGTTAAAAAAACAAAAACAAAAAACCCAAACGTTTATTTACTGATATGTTAAGTGGAAAAAAGCAAGGTGAAAAAATATACATTTATGTGAAAAGCTGGCAGGATAGTATAGATATACCTGTACATTTCTGGAAGGATACATAAAGAAACTGATTGTCTCATGGGAGGGGATATGAGAAGCTAGAAGACAAGGTAAAGAGACATTCCACTGAATCTCCTTTGCTGTCTTTTGAAATTTGTGTCATATTAATGCATTACTTAGTCAAAATGAAAATTCTAATGAGTTAGATTTTGTCAATACCTAATTTTACTTTTTGGTTATTAAAAGTAAGGCCCGTATCAAGAAGCTGCTAGATTTTTCCAGTCCCACTTATTTTTGTTTTGTTTTTTTCCTTTTGGTGGCTGGCTGGTACTGGGACCCAAACCCTTGACCCTGGTGTTGTAACACCACACCCTAATCAACTGAGCAAACTGGCTAGCCCGGATGCCACTTAAACTTCAGTAGACTGTAAAAATTATCCTTCTGAAATTTCTAGAGACTATACAACCAGAGTTGCTAGAGGACTATGGCTGAATAATCAATTTGTAATACAAAAAAACTTATTTAAAATCACACAAGACATGGCATGAAATAGTAGTAATACAAAAATATTTTAGGGGCCGGCCCGTGGCTCACTCGGGAGAGTGCGGTGCTGATAACACCAAGGCCCCGGGTTCGGATCCCATATAGGGATGGCCAGTTCGCTCACTGGCTGAGCGTGGTGCTGACAACACCAAGTCAAGGGTAAAGATCCCCTTACCGGTCATCTTTAAAAAAAAAAAAAAAAAAAAATTTTAATAACTTTTAAGGCTTTTTCATAAATGTCATAGAATTTCTCAGAACAATGTAGTGAGATACTCTTATTTCTACCATTTTCTAGATGAAGATGTTAGAAAGCTGACAGGTTAAGTGATTTGTCCAAGCTCTGTAGCCAGTAAGTAGTAAGCTGGGACTTGAATCTAGATCATCTGATAGTACAGAAATTAGAAGACTCCAATAATTGAGGGCAGAAAATTGGTTTCAGCTTTGTCTTCACTACTTAGTGCCCAAGTGATCTTAGACAAGTTATTTAGCTTTACAGATCCTCATATGTAATATGATTAGAATAAAACTAATATTTACTTTGCAGCGTTATTGTCAGAACTGAGTGAGATGAGCGAAATCAAATAGTAGGTGCTCAAGAAATGTTTGTCGAATGGATTAACAAATGTCCAGGAGCATATCATACTTCCAATCCTGACTACGGTTTGTCTCAATACCTCTTCCTAGTTTAGGTAAAAGAGCAAAGAGTGCATGTAGCACATAGACAGCCACAGGAAAGGAGTAATGGCTTTTCCATTAATTTAGTGTGAAGTCAACTTGAACTTTGTCGTTAGAGGGGAACTTAGTCATCATGTCTCCACTGTACATTAGTGATAGTTCAGTTTTCTCCTAGAACTTTTATCATTTCAAGTATTTTGTTATAGAAAGCATATCAAATTTTCAATGAGCTAGAAAGTAATTAATTTGACAAATTAGTTGTTTAACATTAGAGTTGGCCTTCTTAAATGTTCACTTTGATGCAAAAATATTAAAAACTTTAAAGATCTGATGGTTCTGTAGTGATAATATGAAATACAAAAAACAATTGCTCGTTAGATAGAAATTGTGCCAACATGTAGTTAGCATTGTTCATATTGAATCACAACTTTAATTTCAAAAAATTCTATTATTTAAGTTGGTTGTACAAAATATGTGAATAATACATACTTTTCCTACACAATAATAATTTAGAACAGAATTTTAAGTTCTTTTATTTTTTTTTATTTTTTTTTTTGTCTTTTGTCTTTTTTCCGTGTCCGGCAACGGATCGCAACCCTCAGTGTTGCCCCCGTACCGGACCGGGGACCGGCAACGGGATTGCAACCCTCGGTACTGCTCCCGTGCCCCCCTCAGCCAGTGAGCGGGAACCGGTCCGTATGTGGGATCTG